AGATATGACGGCTTCCGCAGCCCTTCATGCCACTGGATGCTCTTCCACATCCCTGGTCAGGGCAACTCGCCTGAGCAGCGTCTCTTGATGGGCTTGTGGGACTGTGCGAAGCATCTAGACTAGACGAGCTATGCAAGTGATAAGGGCCAGCGGATGCACAGGAGTTGTTTTTTCCCCCCACGCCGAGGGCGCGCCGCGACGGGCAGGAAAGCCGAGACGCCAGCAGAAAGATCCACTGACCGTCCTGACTGTAAGGTCGGACGGAGCTAGCACAAGAGCGAGGCGAAAAACGCACACCCAAGGACACTGCCCCAACCAAGACGGGGCTACGTACAGTGCTACTGGGATACACGCGGGGGTCCACGCGGCGTCGCGCTCGGATATGGCAGCCTCGGGCCTCGGGCTCGCCAACTCACTCACGACGCAACGTTGATGTCCTCGTCTTGCTCGTGGGCCATGGGTGAATCGCCCATACCGTGCACAAGCTCGGCAGACCCGTGGACGATACGCACAAACCTCCACAGGCGAGCTGATACCCAAATTCCCAAGCTGATCTGGGTATTCCCTGTGATAGCGAAGATCTCGAGACCTAACGCAAACATGATACAACGTAGCACTGCCGCTGGAGCACGAACAGAAGCAAGAGGTGCTCCACCTGGAAGACCGTCAATGTCGTAATCAACAGCAGTATGCAAACAGTCTCCGCGTCATGGAAAGAATGGTCGCCAGATCCGTCTGGTATGACGCAGCCACCAGCTCCGCCAGCGGCGCATGCTGCAGCGACCTTCTCAGCATCCTCGCACTTGCTCTCTAATGGGCATCACGCACACTGCCAATAACCACGAGAAACAACATCGATCACAAGTAGCCCCAGGAGCACAGCGTGCAACCTCCAGTCTTCAAGGAGCTTGTGCAATCGTGCTCGGGTGCTTCCCTTGGACCAGGCACCTGTGCCGCTGGGTGCCCTCGTGGCGTCCCAGGAAAACAAGCGGGTTGGCAGCCTCATCGCTACCACAGCCCGACGGGGCTGTGGGAGAGACTCTTGCCCTGTGGTTGGCCAACCATAGTAGGTGCGGGCCCGCCATGCTACCCCTGAGAGGCCCGATGGGGTTACTCGAAGGGGTCCCCCGACGAGAGGGGCGCGGGAACTAAATTCCTCTGGCAGTGGGGTCTCCGCTGCTTGGGGCTGGCGGCAAAATAAGAGTGGTGCCAGTGGCCGTGTCTCGGGGTGGCTCGAGGCACCTCGCAACGGCGGCGCAGATGAGACGCCTGGAGCGTGTCTGTGTTATCATTCATGTTGCGAGGTCCGAGTGCATGTGAATTCATGCAGGCACCTTGGGCAACTTCTTTCGGGTTGTGTCGTCCAGGTGTTCCGTCCAGGCAAAAAAAAACTTCCCCTGGACTCGAACGAGGCCATGCCCACCCCTCCTCCTTCCAAGCCGTGCGGGGCGCCACTCTGCTTGAGTCAAAGTTGCGGATGCGGAGGAGTCTGAACTGCCAAAATTGTTGAAGATGCTGAGGGAGCTAGGAGAGTTGTACTAAGAGGAAGAGGTGTAAGAGTTAGACTCGCTTGTGGAACCTGTTCTTAGAGCGGTTAGAAGACTTAACAGAGTAGACATCGCTGTGAAGCTTTGAAAACAAATGTGGTTGGGACACACCAGCAAACATACCAATAACACAATGGTAAGCGTTCGAACGGAGACATGCGGCAGAAGAGTTGGAGATGCTACGAACGCTAGAAGTAAAGCACGTGCGGAGTGCGTGGACCAATTGAAAGCGTTGGAGAAATTAGAGCAAATACAAGCGTCAGACCTTTTTCAGGTCGTCTCTGACAGGTCGGAACAGTTGAATTTTTAGAAGCAATCAAAAAGATATATGCCATGTAACGCTTAGAAAAATAACTGCTTAGAAAGGCGCTACAGGAGTTATAGGAGATGTACGACGTACAAGAGTCGGCAACTTACCAAAACTAGCCACAGCCAATCGAATACCGAAAACTCACCCCTTACATACCCACTCCCACCGACTCCCACAGACCCACCCCGCTCCCCACCTACCCCCCTACATACACACACACACACACACCTCCCGCCACCCCACACCCAACACCAGCCTTTTCAAAATGTACCACTCAAAGAGTGGCCTTACAAGTAGAAGTGCAGACCATTGCTCTGGTACCGGGGCACGCCAGTCATTGTAGTGGGCATTGCGCAGGGAAGGGGGGGAGGAAAGAGAGCGCGAGAATAAGAAGGTAAAGGGATAAGTCGGCGTCTAAGGAGGAGGTGAGGTGAAAGAGAAAAAGGGGAGAGATGGACATGGGAGCGGGATAAGAATGGAAAGAAGCAGAGCGAACTGGCAACAAAATTGATGGAAAGATAAAGAGAAGGTAAACACGGCCAGTGGATGGGAAAGTGAACGGGGGACGAAATGAGAACGGAGATGGGCTGGTTAAGGGTGAGAAAACATGAGCTACGAAAGAGAAGTGCACGCTCCACGTGACGGAGCGGTGCTCCGCTTCTGGACCCCAGAAAGTCTCAAGGGATTGGGCGCTCTCTCATGGGATGGCACTTCGTTGCATTCAAAAGGTGCTCAGGTATGATATCTTATCAGCTTTATTTTGGAATCGATGTATATTCGTCTAGAATTACGTTCTCATTTCTCATAGGCTCGCGCAGGTTCCGAGAACGCGTAAGGAACTTAAGCGACTGCGATATAGTCAGGCCGGCCAAGGATAGCCCGCAGACGTCCGCGAAGGCTAGCGTGACCCCCGCCTCTCCCCCCAGAGCTTCTCAGATGATCGCAGGAGGCAAGAAGATATCCCAGAAAAGCTTCGAGATGCTTAATGCATCCTCCACCGTCACTGCATCCCCTGGAGGTACCCCGAAGAGGCCTCTAAGAGACCGCTGATGAGGCATCCCAAGAGACCCCAAGAGGCATCCGCAAGGCCTCTGACCCGCAACCCAGGCGCTCCCGACCCCTTTCCCGGGGGCAATGTTTCGTCCCAGGTCCATGGTTGGTGGTCCTGGGGCCCACGAAGGGGCCCCAGCGGCAGAAAAGTCGAAGGAAAAGGCTGGGATTGAAAATTAGCCTGGCGAAAGACCCAACCATATGTAGTTGTGAGTACCGCAATTATGGGTATCGTATTCGGTGGAGCTCCCTATGGGGCCACGAAACGCTGCACTGGGTGGCGAAGACGCATGCGAAGTTTGCCACTGGGGCCTTCGGTGGAGCTCCCTATGGGCCACGAAACGCTGCACTGGGTGGGGCAGACGTATGTGGATTTTTCCACTGGGGCCTTCGGTGGAGCTCCCTACGGGCCACGAAACGTTGTGCTGGGTGGAGGAGACGCATGCGGATTTTGCCACTAGGGCCTTCGGTGAAGCTCCCTATGGGCCACGAAACGTTGTGCTGGGTGGGGGAGACGCATGGGACTTTGCCACTGAAGCCTTCGGTGGAGCTCACTATGGGCCACGAAACGTTGTGCTGGGTGAGGGAAACGCATGTGGACTTTGCCACGGGGCCTTCGGTGGACACAATACAACAACTGACAATATCAAGCCTACGATAAGAAGCATCCTAGATGGGGTCCGAGTGAAGATCGCGTCGCATCGCCAATGCATCGCCGATGCATCGGCGATGCATCGCCGATGTATCGGCGACGTCGGCAGCGTATCGGCGACGTCGGCGTGGAGAAAATCGGGCTCCGCATCGCGCCCCATCGGCGATGCATCGGCGATGCATCGGCGAAGCATCGGCGATGCGGCGTGATCCTCCGACCCCATCTACTCCGACCCCACCCATGGGGAAACCCAGAAGGGCACCCATACCGCTACTCCCCGGACCTCTCCCATGGTGCGTTCTAACCCGAATCTCGAGGCGAATCCAGCGGTGGCAACGAGGGCCTCCTAGGAGGCCCAAAAAAAGAGAGAAAAACGGGCGAAGGGTAGCGGTATGGGTACTCCGAACTTCTTGTTAATCAACCAGGGGGTGACACACGTGAAAACGCGGCGCGGCCAACCCCCCCTGGCACCACCCCCGCGCCCAAGCGGGAAGGGAACGAACCCCAGACCCCCCCTTGGCGCCCCCGCCGACGCGCCGCGGCCACCCCCCCGGGCACTCCAAGAGGGGGGGGCGATTACTAAGCGATCCAGAGTACCTTCCTCCGAACCTAGGAGGCCCAGAGCGGCTGGGATGGCTCACGTGGGCGAGCGCTCGGCGACCACGCCGCCTCTCTGCGCGGCCGCCGCCCACGCCGGAGCTCCGCGAGGGCCCCCGTGGCGGCGGCTCGGCTCCGGAAGCGGGCGCGAGGCGGGCCGCCAGGTGCCCTCCATGAGGGGGGCGTCCAAGAGGGGGGCGTCCAAGAGGGGGGCGTCCAAACCAAAAGGGAGGCGACCAAGGGGGCGACCAAGGGGGGGGCGTCCAAGAGGGGGGCGTCCAAGAGGGGGGCGTCCAAGTGGGGCGCGTCCAACAGGGGGCGTCCAAGAGGGGTGCGACCAAGAAGGGGGCGTCCAAGTGGGGGGCGTCCAAGGGGGGGGCGTCCAAGAGGGGTGCGACCAAGAATGGGGCGTCCAAAGAGGGGGCGTCCAAAAGGGGGGGCGCCCGAGCGCGAGGGCGGTTCCGCCGGCGCGGCGCCGCTGCGGGGGCGACAGCGCGGAAGGCCACCGCGCGCACGGAGCGGTGGCCTCGCGGGCGTCCAAGACGGGGGCGTCCAAGGGGGGTGGGGGCGCAAACCATGGCCGGCGGCACGTGCGCGGCCCCCGGGGGGCCCAGAGACGTACTCAGATAAGAAGAGGCGCCATGATACCTGAGGAGATATCATGGCCCTCGCCATGATATCCACCCCCCCCAGTCATCACCCCCCTTTTGGCCACCCCCGATGCTCCTCCTCCCACCTCCTCCCAAATAAGCCTGGGCTCAACCGATCCCGTTCCCCTCTCGCTCCCCCTCCCGCCAGCGCGCGCGCGGGCGGGCAGGGCGGCCCGATCCCGAGGCGGCCTCTCCTCGGACCAGGCACTGGGAGCGCCCCACGCCGGCGCTGCAGCAGCCGCAAGCGACGGGCGCACCGCCACCGCGCGCCGGCGAGTACAGCACCTCGGTGGCCCACCCCGATGCCTTAACATGGGCAGCTATGTTCGCGCTTCGCGCTTCTCGAAGAGCAAGGCGCGAATGACTTCGCGCTCTCGCGCCACCCTCCCGGGGGAAGAGAGGAGGACGAGGAGGATGAGAGGAACAAATCGCAAACCGAAAACAACTTCGCGCCTTCGTGGCGGCCCTCGCTCCTCGCTCGAAGAGCCACGGCTCCCGCAAAAATGGCAAGCACGCAAACCAGAAATTCTAGATTCAGCTGGAATTGCTTCAGGACCATGGAGGCAAGAGCCTCGATGGTTCTAAGGCCACGGGACCAACGAGAACGACCTAGGGTTGCGCACAGACACCCACCCCAGGTAGTCCCTGCTGGCCCCAATACGCCCCTCCGAATAGTCCGGGGCGGTTTCAGCACCTTGGCACGCACCAAAGTTGGGGTGGTCAGACCGCCCCGGACTATTCGGGGGGCCTGCTGAGGCCAGCCAGGTCTACCTGGGGGGTCTGAACCCGAAGAACCCGAAGTCTTACCAAGCACGCAAGCCACAAGTTCTAGGTGCAGTGAGGATCGTTTCAAACGCGGCCAAGGCGCAGTTGGGATCGTTTCAAGCGCGCCGTTGGCGAACAAAAAAACGCGGCCAAGCGAGGGAGGAGCCCCTGCCACGTCGGAAGCGACAATCTGCCCCACACGTTCTGGGACCCCTGCTCCCAATAAGCTGACACTAAGCGCCCGAGGAAGTGCCCCAATGGACTTCGAATTTGGTCGAAGGTTGGGGTCTGAGACCGAGGTGAAGCGAAGGCGCCCCACCGTGAGCTCGGTGTCGATTTCGGTTCGTGCCTTGCGCGGCGCACGCGCGGACGAGGCAAGACTGCGTGAGTTCTTGCACGAAGCGACGCCCAGGTCACGCTACAGAATGAGTCGGGGTCCCGCCATTGGGGTTGTCCTGCGGTTGTCCCGCGGTGGTCCTGGCCGTGCCCGGGGCTGTCCCGCGATTGTCCCGCAGCTGCCCCGCTGTTACCCCGAGTTTATCCCGCCGTTGTCCCGTGGTTGTCCCGCCGTTGTCCCGTGGTTGTCCAATGGTTGTCACATGGTTGTCCCATCGTTGTCCTGTGGTTGCCCCGTGGTTGGTCACTGGTTCTCCCGCGGTTGTCCCGTAGTTGTCCACGGGTCGTCCCGTACTTGTCTCATGAACAGCGGATTCGATGCGTAATGATTCCGATAGGTCATGAGAACCACAAACGGATTGATAACGCTACTGGTGGTTTGATAATAAGGACGTAGATGCCCCGCGATTGTGCCGTGGTTGTCCTGTTGTTGTCATGTGGTTGGTCCTGCGGTTGTCCCACGCGCGCCCGCTGCGTGGAACCGTGCGTCTGCGATAATTCCAATGAACTTATGGCAACTTACATATTAAAACAGCTATAGTCATGCGATGGCCCATGTATAAACGATCACAACTACATATCCAAGTTGTGTAAGTGATCCAAACTTTGCACTGCTGTGCCATACCTGCTTGGACGTTCTCAGATTATTATCATGGGCGTTCCGACGGGCGCCCAAGAGGGTCGGACGCACTTTCATGCCCTGGCGCGCCCGCAAGCGCGGCCCATGCGTCGGCCCGCGCGACCCGCCAGCCCGACCGCGTGGCTAGACAAAAAATTGTCGCCCCCCACCAGCGTGCAAACGGGCTGTCATTTTACACACCCGCTGGGCCTTTCTGTCGCTGGGGTGAGGGTGAAGCCAAAACCTAGGGGTGCGCGTCTAGGGCCCCCCATGTTGTCACGCGGTGTCGGGGCGATGCCCGCCGCGAGCTCCAGACGACCGCGCCTTCGAGCTCGGTAGGGCGCCCGCCCGTCCCGACGACGTCGTCGCTGTCGTCGTCGCCCTTCTCCTCTTCTTCCTCCTCCTCCTCCTCCTCCTCCTCCTCCTCCTCCTCTTCCTCCTCCTCCTCGTCCGTTTCCTCCCTTCTTCTCGCCCCCCTCGGCTTGCAAGTGAGGAGCCCGTGGTTCTGAACAACAGCAAACAGTCGTTTTGAACAATTCATAAATCCCAAACTTCCCGAATCTGTAATTCCGTGAACGCTTAAAACCACATGTCGCAAGCTTGCGGGATCAAGAACTTAGTTTTTTATCTAAATGAGAAGCACGATTTCTGCGACAACGCATGTTCGGAAACGTGAACCATGTGTATATCACTTTGCTTCTGAGCATCACCCCGCGTGTGCTAGACTTTGGCTATGTATCGTTTGCGGGGGGGGGCGAGGGGCTTCTGCATGTTTTTTGGGGTCGCTACTGGACTGTTTTGATTTAGCAGTCACGGGCCTTCGTCGGGCCCCTCGTTAGTTAGCGGTTGACTCGCATCGAAGTTTGGCAGGGGGCCTGGCCCGCCCCCCGCAGCCCCCAGAAAGAATTGGCGTCGCCCCGTGAGCCTGGACCGTTGGCAAGCCATTTTGGCTCATGTGCAATGCCTTCAGTATTCGTCAACAGTCGCATCGTTGCAATCATTAGGCGTCACAGCGCACAACTCTCAGATGGTGACTTCGCGTTGTCCTCCGTGTCCGCTATGAGGGTGGTTTCAGATATGGCAAGGGCTCTTGGTGTTCGACTTGGTCGCGATCTCCCTCCTGCCATGTGGGACCGTGGTGACATTGTTCGCCACAAGCTTGTCATCGACGGCCTCGTGTTGTACAGGTTCGCCGTCCTGGCTGTGGTATTCAGCGTCGTCGGGATGCCATTATGCTACGATTGGTCAGCCATACAGGCAGGTCTCGCGGTACCAATTCCAGCGGTGCCAGCGCCAGATCCTCCAGCTCGTCGGGTTCAGCGGCAACGAAGTGGTGAGGACGGAGTGCTTGTTCCATTGCAGGGGGCAGAGGACGGCGCCGCTGCTGTTGTACCCGATGGTGTTCCTCCGCATTTTGCGGCCATGGATCGCGCCGAGTTGATGCACGTGGCTGCCCGTGCTCTCGCGCTCGCCGATGCTGAGAAGGCCCGAGCCGACGAGCTTGCCGCTGCGCTTCGGAACTCACGCAGGAACCACGCCAGGTTGCAGAGAGTAGTTGCAAAAAGGAAGCCGTTGAACAAGAAACGGATGCTGCAGGCTGCTACGCACGCGGTTGGCTTCGACCAGAACATCAAAAAAGGTCGGGCGGAGAAACACTTGAGTATAAATGGTGCGTTCTGTATGGTGTTGCGGCGATGCATGAGCAATCTATCTGCACAGTCACTCGGTTTGGCCTTCATGGCCGATGTGCACAGATCGACCGTGACTCGATGGGAGGTGCGGTTCCGGGCCGCTTTGGTTATGGCTGCCCGGCGCTTCCACTCGACTTGCCGCGCGAGGCTGGCGACGGACCCTGCGCCATCAATCGGGTGGCGGCTGCAGCTGCACGTGGTCCGGGGAGACGCAACGAATTCGGCGGTTTGGCAGAAGTGTTGTCTTCGCGTGGCCCAGGTCAGTTCAACGTACGTGTGCACAGCTATGCGTGGTAATATGAGTTGGGAGCAGGTGGTTGATATGTCATGTGAGCGGTGCGTGGTGGCGGACCTCCAGATCTGCCGGCAGAAGGACGCGATCGGCACGTACACTGCGGGGACCAAGCAGCTCACGTCAATTGGCGCGCCAGACTGGTCATTTGGGCTGTGTAAAATGATGAGGAGGAGGAGGAGGAGGATGATGATGATGATGATGGTGATGATGATCATGATGACGACGATGATGATGATGCTGATGATGATGCTGATGATGATGATGATGATGATGCTGATCATGGTGATGCTGCTCATGATTATGAGGCGGAGGAGAGGGATGGGCCGAGGAGGAGGCTGAGGGAGGAGGAGGAGGAGGAGGAGGAGAGGAAGGAGGAGGAGGAGAGGAGGAGGAGGGAGGAGGAGGAGGAGGAGGAGGAGGAGGGAGGAGGAGGCGGAGGAGGAGGACTTACTACCTCCTGGGAAGTCCCTCGGAGGACTTACTTCCTAGAAAGTTCTTCGGAGGACTTTCTTGGGCGAGGAGGGGGGGCGGAGGGGGGGGGGGAGTAGGCGGAGGACGATGGGGAGGTGGAGGAGGAAGTGGCTGGAGGTGGGAGGGGAGGGCGGGGGGGCGATTTGCGGATTGCCGATGGGGGGGGAGGGGCAGGGGGGGGAGGAGAAGCAGGAGGATGGCGAGGAGGAGGAGGAGGCGGAGGAGGACGGGGATGCTGAGGATGAGGAGGCGCAGAAGGCGGAGGAGGAGGAGGAGGAGGAGGAGGAGGAGGAGGACAACGACGAGAAGGCTCAGGAGGAGGTAGAGGGGGATGACCGGGGATGAGGAGGGGCAGGAGGAGGAGGAGGTGGAGGAGGAGGAGGAGGAGGAGGAGGTGGTGCACCGCGGTGGCAACGCTTCCCCCCTCCATCTCACCGCCCACTTTCCTGTCGCGCCTTTCTTATGATGTCTCCGCTCCTGCTGTCCGCTCTGGCGATGCTTCAGCTCGCGTCGGCCTGCCCTAGTCTGATGCCCCTCCCCCTCCACCTTTCGCTTCTGTCGCCTCTGTCCCACCCCCCGTCTAGGGGGCCACGTGCGGTCGCTGCCTTTACCCCTCCCCCTCTCCAGTATTTCCGAGGGGGGGGGTGGGGTTCGCTCCGAGTCCACCCCGCTCGGGAGCTCCCGAGCGCAGTGGACCCCGCCCTCCCCCTCAGAAATCATCGGGGGTAGGGGTAGGGATCGCGCGCAGCCCCCCACCGTCCCCCCAGGCATCGCGGTGGCCGGGCCCTGGCGCTCCACGACCGCGCCGACGACGCGCCGGGCGCGGCCGCCGCTCAGGTCGCCGTGCTGGAGCAGAGGTGCCGCCTGGACCCCCCGGGCTTCGGTCGCTTGCTGAGCATGTTCTGCCTCGTCACTGACCAGGGGGCTGATGAGATTGGGGCGCGCGGGTATATTCAACAGGATTGCTTACGTGACCCGTGCACGCTCGTTTGGGAGAGCAATTGCATGTGTCACATATATCATTTGATTGTGTCCAAAATGCTCAAAGG